TATAATCCAGAATCCCAGTTATGGATATAAATATCCACCAGGGGCCACAATCCACACCACTAAACTGTCAGGCCATAGAAATAGACTTTCTTCCATTTCCCCTATGCCCAAAAAAGCCCAGATTGAACGACATGGATGCTGTGATGGACATGAGTAGTGACTTAATTGCTGACACACCTCAACATGATCAACCTGCAATAGTAAGTAGCTCTACAGATGCTTTTCCAGAATCAAAAACATCACTCATGTTACAGGAATACTCCTTTGTGTGTGTACTGTCTGCGCCAGTACAGTAGAGATGGAATCTAGGGTCTAGTCAGCTATGCATTACCAAGGGTGGAGATTGGAAACGGTTGCTAAGCGACGGAGGCTGTTATGATCAGCATCGTTAATTAAAATCCCTTATGTAAATAGCAAGATGCACAAGGCCTTCTGTCTCTAGATTTCGTTAATTGACTGATTTTATTCTGGACTTGCTCTGCTGTATACCAACATCCATTGATCCGGCGACACCTCAAATGCAAAGAAAAAGAATTGCTATCATCCTCAAGGTATGCCCAGCCTGCCTCATCAAGTATAGAAGCTTGTGAAACCACAAAAACAGTCCTATTGAAAGCAAGAGACCTAATGGTAAAGGCTTATGACCTAGCTACCAGTAGAACCGAGCAAACTCAACTTTTGGATCTTCTAGAAGTATTCAGGGAATACACCGAAAAAGGGAACCTTTGCAAAGCATCAACCATTATTGCAACACAGGTGGCCAATCTCGAAACTGCAACTAGACAAATAGAGACCAAAGCTAGAGCATTTGAAAATTATTCTACACCAGGTGCCCCCCTCAAATCAACTAAAGCCCTCAACCTAGCAATGTAACCAGTCAAAAAACCGACCGAAAAACCAACAAGTAACTATGGCTTCTATGGCTGCTAGGGGAGTTGGGATGTCCACTGACCCACTTCAATGGACAGTTGTAGGAAAGAAAGCCTCGGCCAAACATCAAAATTTCCAGCAACCACTCCAGTCAAAACCAAAGGATATCAAAAGGGTGATTCTAGTGCAAGATCCCGAAGCCCTAACCAATTATAAGCCTCTACATGCAAGAGACCAAATAAATCATGTATTTGCAGCCAATGGCATCAAAGGACCAGTAGTCAACACAGCTGTCAAAAAGCAAAGCGGTAAAATAACAATCACAACCACTAATGAATATTCTGCAGACCTGTTCCTTAAAAATAAACCTATCTGGGAGAAAGTTATTCCATTTATTTCTGTACAAAAAGATGAGCCCTGGTACAAAGTAGTTGCACACGGGATTCCCTTGGCAGACTTTGACAATGAAGATAGGATGGAAATGATTAAAAATGAAGTAAAAACATTCAACAAAGGACTTAACCCCATTGGAATGCCTCACTGAATTTCAACCAGAGAGAATAGACATAAAACAGGCAGGCTCTGTGGCCATCGCATATGCTACCCAACAAGAAGCCGAAAGAGCCATTAGAAATAGACTATATATTGCCGGGATCAGCTCTAGTGTCACCAAGTTCTATAATGTAGCTCAAAAAACACAATGCAATAAATGTCAAGCATTTGGACACGTGGAGAGTTACTGCCGAAGAAATGCAGTTTGCAAACTCTGTGATTCCCGAGACCACAGCACTCAGCAACACTTCTGTAGTGTATATCAATCAAAAGGGGTACAATGCAGTCATCTTGCACCAAAGTATGTCAACTGTGAAGAAAATCACACTGCCAATTCAAAGAACTGCCAGGTCTACCTGAGCATTAAAAACAAGGCTGAAGAGGTTGACCTATAATGTCTGACACACCAGATATTAAGGTCCTCCAAATAAATCTCAACAAGAACCAATTTGCAACAGAGAGTGCATTACAAATAGCAATAGAGCTTAATATTAAAATTATAGCAGTGAAAGGGCCTTGGTTGGTCCCACTGACAACAAATCAACCAGACTGTCGCCGGATCAATTGGTGTTGGTATACAGCAGAGCAAGTCCAGAATGAATCAGTTAATTAATGAAATCTAGAGAAAGAAGATTTCCTACTTCTCGCTGTATACATAGGGAGTTGTAATTGTTAGCGCCGATTATAACAATCTATGTTGCTAAGCAACCATATCCAGACCGCAACATTGGTAGCCCCCGTAGCTGGCTAGGCCCTATATTCCATCCCTGACGTTCTGGCGCAGACACTACAAACACAAGGGATTAATCCCGTAACACAGACTTTGCAAATACAAGATCAATAAACCACCAAAACTTTACTCAAATTTTTCCAAACCCAGCTATTGTTACGGACTGTGCCCAGTTCGGTTAGGCTGGGCTATCTTTCAGGCCCAGCCTTGTTCAAGGACACTAACCAAGTGATCTATAAGAGAGTTTCTCGAGACTCGAATCACTCGGTTAATTATGCTGAGGCTGGATAACAGATCACTCAGTATCAAAAGAATACGTGTCGGGATACTGGATCACTGGTGGCTGTAGCTGGCATATTTAGTTCAAAGGATTTCCTGTAGTAAATCTCTATAGAAAAATATTAACTCTTTGTGGTACTGTTTACGTGCGGTGTCCGTAATTCTCCTCGCCCTTAACAGCTATTGATAAGAGGCCTCAGACTATGATCTATGTTGCTCCAGAACTTGGTCCAAAGGTTAAACTATCTCCATTTTCGCCTCTTGATCCCGACCTTCAAGTCATTGACATCATGCATGGGACAGGATCAATAAATCTGATAAATATCTACAACTACTCCAGGGAACATGGAACAACAATTCATAGCTTATCTGAAGATCTCCTGCAAAATCCAAAGACAATTTTGCTGGGTGATTTCAATATGCATCACCCTAGATGGGAACCTGAATCAAATGGCTCCCATGCGTCAGATCTATTTGTTGAATGGCTTGATGGCCTAAAGTTACGCCCTCGGGGCTCCAAACATGCAATGAGCAAGGCAGTGTATGTGCTTGAACATGAAACACCTACTCGAGACATGAATGCCAATCTAGTCTTGGCATTACTCAGAAAACACCCACACCTCATGTATATAGAGCTCGATGTAGTTACTCCTATTTTTCCTTCCATTGCCAATCTATCTTAAAATCCCAAGGCTGCCTCTCTACCATTTTCATACCTCGTAATTTTGGCTATCTTTTTCAGAGACCCAGCCTACTTGATTCACTCACGCACCCACGCACTACACTTTCAGAGTCATCTACAGTCCCACAGTCCCACAGTCCCAATTTTACGGAAGTCGATGTCCTTGAAGACTAATACTCTCAAAGAAATCACCAATCCCCGAAACCCCGCAACAGGACGATTCATAAGAAGGACCATACACCAAGACACCGTGGCAAGTATGAAGATATCCAGAGAGCTTCCCCTTTTCAATGAAAAGGTTAAAAAATTCGCCCCCCATTAAGGAAAAACGCGCCATTAGAGCCAACAAAGATCAAAAAGTTCGATGGAAGCAACGCAGATTTCAATACTTGGTCCACCGCTTTGGATCTCTGTTTTGTCAAATACCCCGAAGACTTCAGCACTCCAGAGTCGCGCCTCACAGAGATTGCGGAGCATTGTTCGGGTCGCGCTACAAACTGGATGAATGCAATCATCACCGGTGATTGTGAAGATCTCATTGATGATTATGCTGAATTTATTGCACAGTTCACTAGAACCTTTCAAGACGCGCAGTACATCTCGCATATGCAAGACTAGTACATGACTAGACATGTGAAAGGTTCTGTTGCCATCTTCGCGACGCAATTGGAAGAAGCATCCCATGCTTTGGGTTACCCTCCCAATGTCATGGCACTCCAGTTCCTGCATCACATGCAGCCCGAGATTAGAAAGGCGCAAAATGTTGTGCTGGCTCGGTTGAGTTGTTAGGAGATAGGGGAATGGAGGATGGGCTGCTGGATTAGGAAAGGGTGGAAAATACATGCTGGTGCATAGACGCTGTTCACGTACTCTACAATCTCTTCACCTGCCGAGTTAAGTGAATCAATCTATCCATATAATATCATACTTCACATCATCCATTAGATGATATTATCAATCGTCGGGATGCACATCTAGCATCACCTTCATAGATCACCATTGTCAGTAAGAGTTCACATTTGATACCTACTGACCTCCATTTGGCCACAGTGATACGCACTCAGTGTCCATTGTGCCATCACCCAGCGTGAGCGTGCCATCTCTGCGATTCACCATTGCACATGAGCCCGTGTAATTCCACTGACGGACAGCAGAGACATAATTGCTATATACCTCACAGCTCATAACCACAACACATAGATCACCATTGTCAGTAAGAGTTCACATTTGATACCTACTGATACCCATTTGGCCACAGTGATACACACCCATTGCCACTCCTGGAACTACCGTCCGCACTGAAGGAACGACACAACAATACGGAGCTCGCCATACAGGTCTAAACCCTCCCCTCACAGATACCGAGAGAAACCGTTGACCAACCCATAATCTTTGTCTATACTGCGGAGCAAACGACCATTTGGTGGAAAGATGTCAGCTCACAAAGGGACAACGCCGCCTCAACACCACGGCATACAATCCAGACACAGCAACCTCTATATACCACAAGAACGAATCTGTACGTACTCATACCCCCTACTCTGCTAAATTACAAACCTGGCGCTCCCCCACTGACTTCACCCCTGGGATTGAATCTCGACGTCCTCAACTCAAAGTTAAAGGGTCAGTGGGTGGAAAGGTAGTGCATGCATTAGTAGATAGTGGTGCGGAAGATAACTTCATCAATAAAAATATTTTATCAGAACTTCAAATCTAAAAGTCTGCTCCTTTGTCCCAACCAATTATCGCTGCAGACGGCCACATAATCGTGCCTAGTGATAAAGCAAGAATTGTAGAAGTAGAATGTAAATTTAACGACCTTGCAAAAGGTCAATTCTCCTTTGTACCAGCTCTATTGAAACATCAAGATGTCATACTAGGTTACCCATGGTCGCAATGCCTAAATCCATCATTGATTGGATTACCGGTAACATAGAATGCAAAAATCTCACACCACAAAAGCATCCCATAAAAGCACCAGTCATCAAAACAAGGCCACGCACATTTCCCTCCCCTCTCCGCACTGTAGGTCAACGCTGGTGTGCACGCCCACTCAATAACAGTAAAGCCATCGCTATGGCAAAGCACGTTTGCGAAATCATCCGCAAAAACACCAGTGTCCAACAAAACAACGGCCCCAACACTGAGGAAAGAGTTCCCATAATCAATTGGCAAAAATTATACCACACCCTAAAATTGAACACCTTATTGAAAGAACACGAGCCCGACACCAATCAAACCCTACCTAACCACTATACAAAATTTAAAAATGCTTTCTCAAAGCCAAAAGCTGAAGAACTAGCAAAAGAAAGGTCAAACGTGAACTGCGAGATTATCCTCAAACCAGACGCCAAGATGCGCTGCAGAAGAGTATAAAAGATGTCCAATACAGAACTCAGTCTACTCAAAACCTATATTGACACTGGAATTGTTGTGATTGGCAAGTATTTGTTATGGCTCAGTATGACTGCTACTCAGTATAATGACTTGTAGTTGTGGCTATACCACTGTACCATAAACACTGGCCCGAACTGTGGAGGCCTTATTATATCAGGCGCCGACATTTAGTTGAGTCACGCTAGGCTGTACAGTTGTACGAAGTAAGGTGTAAGATGTAGCTTTAGTTCTGTAGTTTTGTAATCTGTATTATTAGTCCACAAACTATTCTTGTCCCTGTCCGTTCTGATATACTCTCGTGCAACACTGGCCAGTTCCCAATCTCGAAGACGGCAATCTCTTCACATACCAGCTGTAACAGTATTAGCCAAGATAGCCACGTGATACTCATCATGTGCGGACTTTAGTCTATCTCTGCTGCTCAGTAGACTTAGTAGATGTAACACCTTTTCATATACATAACTATCCAAATACAACAGGTTATGGCCCTTGCGCTTCCGCGTTCTTTTATTTTTATTTAGTTATACCATCTACCATCTATTGTTTATTGTTTATTGTTTATTATTTATTACTTATTTCTCTCCATAACAACAATATTTTCACCAAAAATATATATATATATATATATAAAATGTGTTGTAATATCAATGAGGAATCCTCAAAGCCGAAGTAGGTTTGTGGTCACCTGGCAGGTATGGGAGTTTGTTTTGTGAGTAGGCAGTAGTCACATGACTTAGTGCGGTTCGCCATGTTGCCCATATGGCAGACACACCCGCAAGTGAAGAGAACAAGAATCACCACATCAGAGAGAAACCCATTGCGTACGCGTACACGTGTATATAACCAACCGGCATAATGGGTAAATATGGTGGTACAATACTCACAGGTCGAGAATATTCACTTTGTGGCAGGGCAATCTTGAAGTGGAACTAGCTGCCACAAAGCTCAAACAGTTTCTAAAGCCGGAGTATTGCATTCCGCCCCAAGTCAAAAATGATTCTGAGTTAAAAGAAGATTATTTAATAAGACTTGAAGAATGGGAATATAGGCATGCACAAGCTTTAAAGATAATCCTCTAGAGTATTGACAATACAAATAGGATTGCAATCCAAAGCTGTCGCACAGCAGCAGCAGCATATGAAACCCTTAATTCCTGATATGGTAGGAAAGACACAGCCCTCATTGCCCAGTTGTTCTCGCAATTGTTTGCAGTTCTAAGCATGAAAAAAAGCACCGTTACAGAGAAATATGACCTTGTTGTAAACTTAACAGCACAAATCTCAGAACAGCAACAAGATGCAGTCGTACCGGATATTATATAAACAGTCATTCTTATGCGAAGTCTACCTTCTGAGTATGATACAACTATTGAAATTCTTACTAACAAGGAAAGTGTTGTGTCTAGACCCACATAGCTACAGTGCACAGCTCCAGTTATGATGGTCACGCGACTGCATGCATTTGCTCTGTTTGCTCCTGCTTTATTGAGTTAGTATAATTAGTAAGCAATAGTCTAGGGACTATAAGTAGAGAGCTTTCCTCCACAGTAGATAGAGTAAGCAATTCACTCTTTCCTCATTCTACAGAGATCATTCTCCACTCCTCTTCTTGACCTATCCGGCCCAGCAGCATATCTGTGATCACTAGCAGCAAACTCCCACAAATTGTATGTACACCCAAATCATAGACCTATCATAACAGGTTATGAGCCCGGCGCATCCACGTACTTACAGGAGTTAGCTAACCATTGTGAAAAAACCACAGATTAAGCATCATGAAAATGACTGATCCAAAGGAAATTCTTGGTAATTGTATCTCATTCATCGCTTGGAGAATGGCATTGCGTGCTAAACTTGGACGCAAAAACGTCCTGGGACATGTCTTTCATGATATGCCTAGGATCCGTCCAGTCAACATCCCTACAGATCCTCTATTAGGGAGCCCAAACGCCGAAGATGCCGATAAACTCACGGAAAAGTACCTGGATGAATTCGAGCGCTGGACTTTGGGAGAAATCGAAGCAAAAAATATCATCACCCAACGACTATCTACGACCATCTGCCCCCAACATTACGACAACCTGACGGCCAAAGAACTCTACGACACTGTAGCCGGGACCAGGAATGAAACTGCAACCGCACCATATGCTGCAGCACTCGAAACACTGTTGAGCATCAGGTTTGTTAGTACTGCTGATGATTATGTTGACCGTTTCCTAGCAGCATACCAGAGTGTCAACAACGCGGCCGATGCAATTTCTACTCGGCCGTTAGCCTCTGGGTATTGCATAGGTGACGGACAAGCATCAGCTATTTTTGTGATGGGAACAAAGAGGATCGAATGGCTAAATGTTTGGCGTGATATAAGAGCATTCGATTCCGACAACAAGTATGCACCACTGCGAATTCTGATGTCTTCTTTGCGATCTGTAGCGGGCAATCGGACCCAGACACCCAACACGGTGGCTGCGGTTGTACCCAACAGTATCAACGTAGACCCAGAAGCATACTGCAAGAGGTGCAAACATCGGCACAAGAATAAGTATTGTTATTGTCTACACCCAGAATTGGCACAGGGAAGAAATAACCGTTCTAGGGTAAACAGGGGCAATGGCAAACAGGCCTCAGTCAATAGCATAGGAGACGATAGTGAGTCACACTCAGGAGGGGTGATAATTGCTGCATCATCTCGAATGAATGAATCCGTTACACTCTATGACAGATGTGCATTGCACCACTTCGTCCCACACTGTTTTATGTTTAGTGAAGTGAATCGCTCCCCTAAACCATTCAAGTTCTATCAGGCTGTCGGTACTAGAGAGCTATGTCAACAAGGAACAGCGACTCTTAAATTCGAGACATTTTCGCACCAACTCCATGAGACTTTTCTTTCACCTGAATCTCCGTGCAATATTATGTCAGCCGGTAGGTTGGAGAGGCTCAGCAACATAGTACCGGATCCAGAAAAGTCTCTATTGGTGCAGAAACGTGACAATGAGTCTAGTGTTCCCATAGCAAGACTGGTGCGCAAGAATGATGTATACTACATTTATCCCCTTGAAAAAACCAATACATCACGAAGTAATATAGCAGCTCCTGGTGTTGAAAGAATACCGCAGACCACTAGTGCACAACAATGGCACCAAAGAGCCGGACACACGGGCCAGAAAATCTTAAAGAAAACCACCCAACACACCAAGGGACTCGAAAATATAGACCTAAGTCAGCTCACAACATGCGAGACATGTCACCTCAGCAAAGCCCAAAGATTTGTATCTCGAGAACCTAGACCAATCCCGTACGCACCTCTAGATGAAATATTTATAGATACAGTAGGCAAGATTACCACTGCAATTAACGGACTACAGTATGTTGTTATAATCACAGATTCTAAAACTCGCATGAGATGGTCATTGTTAACCCAATCCAAAGACCAGATTGCCTCTTCTCTTGTGCAGTGGATTGAATTTCAACACCATCATCATGGAAAGAAAGTCCGCGCAATCTTTAGAGACGGAGGCACTGAATTTTTACGCATTAAATCACACTGTGAACAGCATGGTATTTGTACTGATGTATCCGCTCCAGATACATCTGAGCAAAATGGAGTATCTGAAGCAGCAAACAAGGTAGTTTTAAGACTCGCAAGGTCAATGCTGATTGATGCCCGCATGCCTGCACTTTATTGGCCCTGGGCATATTGACATGCATGTTACATTGTTAATAGATTATACTGCTTACGCACAAAACAGATCCCATTACTTGATTTCATGCAAGGCCTTCATCAGCCGCACACTGGTCAAGTAGACCTTACGAACCTTCCAAGGTTTGGCTGTCGAGCATATAAACTAATACAACCGAAGCCAGGTAAATTCGAGCCCAGAGCAGCAAAAGGATGGTTTATGGGTTTCCAGAAAAATACTGACAAGAACTTCATCATTTATTATCCCCATTGGACAACATCACAGGGCTGGAAATGGATAGAAAATTTCACTCCCCATGCATCTTTCAATGAAGATATAATGTTTGGTGACGAGCTAAGTCCAATCAATCAGCAGAAAACAACGAACTACTGGGCTAGTGATAACTCATTATTTACAGAAACAATGAATTATCAACATAATCCTCCTTTAACTCCAGAACTTCAAACTCCAGCATTGTTTGAGGGGGAGAGTTCATCACCCACCACGCTAGAATCTGACTCTATTACACAAGATGCAACCGAAGATTCTGCATTAGCCGATAACATGAACAATCGGCCCAAATCAATAGTTCAAGAAGTGACTTCACTCCCGTCATCAGAAGAACAATTACCACCAACAGACATCAGAAATGTGAGTTCCCAAAGTAGTGAGCAAGGCTCATTAAGTGAATTGTACCACTCAAAAGATATAGCAGACTCCCCCCCAGAATCATACTTCCCTAGCCATTCACAGGAGCTTAGCCTGCAGCCAGAAGATGAGAGGGAGTCCAGTTCTGAAGAAGAAGCAGATGAAACGCCATACGACAAGATCATGACTGGATGGGACCCTATACGCTCTATTGTAGGACAAAAACGAGCGCACTCACCAGAAAGGGAATACTCGCTGGAAAAAGAGATCACAAGAACTAGGTATGGCAGAGAGGTTAAGAAACATGACTACAAACATCTCCACTATGGCAAGGCAGCACAAATCTCCAACAATCCAAAAACCTGGAGCAAAGCCATGACTAGTCCGGAGGCCGTGCAATGGAAAAAGGCTACAGATGAGGAATTTCGCTCCCTCAAAAAAAAAAGGAGCCATAAGAATCATTCGCCGCACAGAACTTCCACAAGGACGCAAACCTATGAAATGCAAATAGGTATTTAAGAAGAAATTTAGAGCAGATGGCAGCATCGAAAGGTGGAAGGCTCGTTGTACAGCGAAACGCTTTACCCAGCGTCAAGGCATTGATTACCATGAAACTTTCGCTCCTACAACACGACCGGAAACTGGTAGA